GCCGCTCGAGCATGCAGAGTCTGGGGTTGCCAATCCTTCGTGACGAAGAAGAAGATGCTGAGTTTTAAATGCTGTTATGACTGTCGTCTTGCCATGCTGTAAGAGTGCATACCAGCATTTTCGTTGTTCTGCTTGTTACTACCCGAGTTCGTAGTAGCTTTTAGACGGGTGCTCGCCTCGCCTCCCGAAGGACTGTACCGTGCTGGGGCTTATACTACGCCCCACTACCCTTGCATGATGGTGGTGATGATGTTTGTGAGGATGATGACGGTGGTGATGATGATGGTGGTGATGATGATGCTGGCGGTGATGATGGTGCTGCTGATGCCGATAGAGGTGGTGTTGGTTGCTGTGGCGACAATATTGGTGACGACGATGGTGATTATGATGGTGCAGGTGCCGTTGGTAATGATCAAGATCATGATGAGTCTGATTTTGTTGGTTACTAATGATGACCAAGGCGTTTCTGTTGGCCATGGTTACTATCAGTGTTTGAACCAGTGTTTGTAGTAACGAGCAATGGCTCATTGTCTGAATGTCTTGCCAGCGTTCTCGTTATCTGGGATGTTCGTAGTCTTAAAGGTAGAACAAGCAGTTTATGTTGGACAATTATCGTGGTGGTTGCTGCCTGTGTCAGTGTATGTCAGTGTCATTTCTCTGCTTCCATGGTGTGACTTCGTGAATCGCAGGACTACTCGTGTTCTTGTGAGAGTTTTTCGCATGGTTTCTTTAACGTGCAAATGTCATACAGGTGGCAAGCCCGGGATCTGAGCATGTCAGCGCAGCGAAAACGAAGGACCACGATGTGCGACAACAAGTTCTGACACAACCCTCAAACCCAGCCACGTGAGGCTGGCTGGAACGGAAGGGGAAAGAACAGCTTATTCATCGCACAAGCTTTTGACAGTAATATGTTGTGAAGCATGGAAAATGAAACCTCGGAAGTCGCGTCTACTCTGGACCGAGGTGTGCAATCTCAGTCGTCACAACAACGCCTGGGTCGTGCATGGCGTAGGCAAGCCCTGCATGGGCGACAGCCGCAGCCCCAGCGACTGGTCAGTCCAAAATCACTACTACTACTGCTACTACTACTACTACTACTACTACTACCACTACTACTACCACTACTACTACCACTACTACTACCACTACTACTACCACTACTACCACTACTACCACTACTACTACTACTACTACTACTACTACTACTACTACTACTGCTACTACTGCTACTGCTACTGCTACTGCTACTGCTACTGCTACTGCTACTGCTACTGCTTCTGCTACTACTACTACTACCACCACTACTACTACTACTACTACTACTACTACTACGGCGACGACTACTACTACTGCTACTTCTGCTACGACTTCGGCTTCGACTGCGACGGCGGTGAAAATGACGGCGGCGGCCGCGGGCCGCGACGACGACGACAATGACTCCGACGATGGCGACGACGATTACTATGAACACCTGCAAAACCCCGTAAGCCCAAAAGCCTTCGCCGTCAAACTAAATACCCAGACTTGCCACAAATATGCTATACTATATCTCCAAAACCATATTCTGATAATTAAGAGCTCTTTGCCCTCAACCCCAAGAGCCCTTTTATTCTTTTCAGGCCGGAAGACAGAAGAGCTCCTGAACGTGCTGGCAGACTTCCAGGCTACTACGAAACGGGGCTCTGCGAGGTTCCCTTAAGGGCTTCTTTCAGAAATCTAGAACCCAAAAAAGGGTCCTATGTACCGATATAGTAGAATGTAGGGTTTCCACATTAAGAATTACCATTAGGACTTAGGGAAGTATCCCCCATACCGGTACAGAGGACCCTTTGGGGAAGGGTTCTACGATGGTTTCACGGCGGTTTTACGGTTTAGGGTTTCAGATTTAAGCTTTGGGGTTACGGTTTTGGGGTTTAGGTTTAGGATGTAGGACCTAGGGTTTAAGGCTTTGGCATGTTCGGCTCTTGAGTCTTTGGCATCAGGCTCCTTTGGGGTTTGTGGTTTAGTGGAGCAGAGGGCGAGAGTCCTCTCTGCTCAGAAGGTGCTTAGGCCCTGCAGATCTCAATGCCGAGCCTCGAAGCCAGAGAAGAACCATCTCCACAGCTCTGAAATCCCAGGCGAACCTGCGAGTCGATCATGAGTCTTTTGTTCATGGTTATCAAGACGAAACGTTGTTTCGTTGTCGAGAGTTCTCTCCTGTTTTGACAAGGTCATGATTTGCGGCAGTCAGTCTTACCATGATTGTAGCATTTTTAAGAGTCCGCATAAGCTCCAGGTACTTCAGAGAAATCCTGAATAGAGGAGGGTTTGTTATTAATCAGTGGTTCGCATTCCAGGTCTTTTGATTTAAGGCGTCGGTTTCAGGTCGGGTGTTAGCCCAAAGCCCTGAGCCGTAAATGCTGGATTGTACACTGAGCACTCAATACTGTTCCTAAACATAGTGCACGAGGATTCAGGGTTATAGAGTCTGGGGCGTGGCGTTGCGTACAAGAGGATTGGCATTAGGCTTTGCGGCTACGTGTTGTTTCATTTAGGTCGACGCTGAACTTTCAATTTCAGCCCTCCCGAAACGCTAAACACTAAAGCCCTAAGCCCTAAACCCTAAGCCTACAGATTCCTTACGTTCGCAAGGCCGAAGTGAGTCAACGGCTTACCGTTAACCCATAATCCAACGAAAGCCGAACCCACTAATGTGTCGGTTTCTTAACCTGACTGGTGCCTGAAAAAGGGGCCCTGAACAAAAGCATCCGGTTACATAAAGGACTGTGATTTGGGGTGACTTTTCCTGAAACTCCCATATTGGCGGAACCAAAGAAGCGACACTCGTCCCACCTTGTCCACACAAGCATGGTAAAACAGTGACACCGGGCCCTCCTGATGGTGTAGAAGCTCAGGTTGTTGTAGAGTTACACCACACCGCCCAAACCCCAACTGCCGCAGCGACTAAATGCTGAATTGCCGGAGCTTCTAAACATTTCCGCTTGGAGAGCTTGCCTTCAGCAGATCCCGAAAAGCAACACTATTTTTCTAGAGCATGGGGCTGTCCTTAAACCCCAAACACTACACTGAAACCATCCGCCCTAACCATAGGTGGAACCCTTGCAACTTACCGCGAAGGACTCGATACTCTGACCTCCTCGCTAAACCGTCGGCCCTGAATCTCTCCTCACTCAGGGCCGGCATTTGAACTGGGAGCGGCGGAGGGAACTGGTGTCTTGGCTCTGGAATTTGGGGGGTGCAGAGGTTTTTGGAGTAGGGTTCAGGATTTTTAGGTTTGGAGTTCAGGGATTAAGGTTTGGGGCTTGGACGATTTAGTCGGTGCCCCTACTGTTATAATACTTTTCAGGTACAGGGCTGCTTTCGTGACGTGTCTCATGGTTGCGCGTCGGGGTCCCTTGCTGTCCCTTATATACTCCTTGTGATTCTTGTGTAGCTTGCTGTACTGCTTTTCATTCTATGTGTGTGTGTGTGTGAATATGTAGCATGCAGTATGCATGTGCCGACCTATCTGCTCCTGCCGGTGCATTTACTTGTGTACTGCTGATGGCAGATAGGCTCAGAGGGGCAAGTCTGGTGTTGAGAGTTTTGTGCTCTTTGAGAGCTCAAGGGACGGAAAGCCTCAAGGACCAACGACGGCTCTTGCTACTTTTCCACAGCTACAACTCAGCTACGACAGGTCAGGGTGAGGGGCGCTGTGGTGGTCAAGGAAGCTGTATGCATGTCAAAGATGGCTTGGGTTAAGCATTCGGTACTTGGAGGATCATGGGACTTAGTAAGTAAGGTTATAAGTACCTTAATTGGGGTTATAAGTACGGTTACCCTAAGTATAACCCTAGTTACTAAGTCCCATGATCCTTTAAGTATTCGGATTTTGGTGTTTAGACAGGATGGCGCACCTGGGTATTTCCGGAGATTTTCAAGCAAAGCCGAAGCACTGGATCCCGAGACGGATGCTTGAAGGCATGGTCGTCCGCACCACAAGAGCCTTCTTGAACAAAGGGGCGAAAAGAACCCGGTTTGTGTGGTTACCGTCAGCATCCGTTTGCGGTTTCAACATGCCAGTTACGAGGAACCTCATGACTCACTTCCTTTTTTAGCCTCTGTCTATTGTCACTCCTGGTAGCAAAGCACCCAGGTAGACCGGTAGAACTGAGAGTGCTTGCTTTCCACGCCGTCTGCGACGCTTCTTAGGTGAATAAGACTAACAGAGAATGATTAACGAGTGAATCTTCAATCCAGGCAACTCTGATGGCTGCTGACGGACCTGATGGTGATGCGGCCATCATGCAAGCAACAGCTGGAACTAGCAACAGCAACGTTAACAACACAGCTGCGATGATGACGGCGATCCTACTGCGTTGCTAACACTATTATTGTTGAACAGCATTGCAGAGCAGTCACCTCAATAGCAAAACGTGGGTACAAACAAGACTGGCTACATATAGCTGCATCTTCGCAACTGCCCTCAAAATAATCGAACGCTCGTGGATGAGATGCATAGACTCCGCTCAGGTGAAGCTCCGTGTGCTTCAGAGACTGGGCCTGGAGACAGGGTTCGGATTTTCACACTGTTACTACTGGTAGCTTTGCTTCCCAGCATCTGGATGGGAGAACATGGCGGCCAAGAGAAAAGTGAGGGTGCCGATGACGAAGGTGATGATGATCAAGTCGACGACGACGACGATGATAACGATGATGATGATGATGATGATGTTGGCGATGATGATGATGATGATGATGATGGTGGTGGTGATGATGATGATGGTGAGAATATAGACCAAGTAGTATGGACATGCAGGTGCGTACGGACAGTAACATGATGACAACGAAGGCGACAGCGTCGTTGATCATTGGTACTGACGATGCTGATTTTCACGAAGGTAAGGACGGACATGGCCCAAGATAATGAGCTTTGGTGCTTGTAATGATGACGGCGCTGATGCATGAAGCTGTTCGGCTTCTGATGGTGAGGATGATGTGAAAGGTGCTTGTGAGTTATGACGAAGTTGCCGGTCACCGGGATCAACACAGATTCAACAGCACCGCTTGTTGGCACAACCAAGGAAATGTGGTCGTGCCTTGGCATCTATCTAAGTGAAGCTCTGCACCAGAAGTTCGAATCTTGCTCCTGTGCCTTGCGCATTTCGGTCGGGCACCCGTAGCTTGTGGTAGCTCTTTCCTCACTGTGCGCATGTTAGAACAGTCAGTTCCCACATAGTTGCATATATAGGTGCCGGCCGAGGTATCAGGCCAATGTACCAACGGCTCATGCTATCCTAAATGCTAGTTAATTCGCAAGACCCTGATTTGGATGACCCTGACCCATAATCCCTAGGGCCCTAAACCCTACGACCGTAAACCTGCAAGACCCCACTCAAGCCCTAATCCAGAAATCCTATAGACCCTAAACCCTAAACCCTAAATCCTAAACCCTAAATCCTAAACCCTAAACCCTAAACCCACCTGAACAGCAGGCATGGCGAAATCCAGCGGCTCCGACTTTGCGCTGCTCATGTCCGGGCCTTCGAAAGACCGTTTGGAGAGATGTCGGGGCAGATTCTGAACGAGGATCACATGCATATGCATGCACATGTATACACACATGTATGTACTTGTATGTGTGTATGTATGTATGTCATGTGTGTAGATATATATATATATATATATATATGTATATATATATATATATATATAGACACACACACACACACATATATATATATATATATGTGCGTGTGTGTGTGTGTGCGTGGGTGTTTAAGTGTGATTCAACCTACCTACCTACCTAATGCTAACTATGTACCTAGTTAAATAGGTACGTAGATACATAGAAACAGATATGCAGATTCGCACCCATGCATGCATGCATACATATATACCTACCTAGATACATATACATATAAAGATACATATACAAATACATACACATATACATATACAAGTACTGGTACATTCACATGTACATATACGAATATGCATAGACACAGACATATACATATACATACCTGCATATCTACATACATGCATACACATACATACATGCATACACATACATTCATATATACACATACATACATACATTACATTACATTACATTACATTAAATTACATTACATTACATTACATTACATACATACATACATACATACGTACATACTCAAACACATACGCCCCTACGACACATGCATGCATGTGTACATGCAGACACATAGACATATAGATATGCATGCACTGAGACAGACAGACAGACAGACAGACAGACGGAGAGACAGAGAGACAGAGAGACAGACAGACAGGCAGACAGACAGACAGGTAGACCTATGCAAATCTTTAGATGGGCACTTTGGTAAGAGCTCTGGCATGTCTGTAATGAGCATGGTGGTTCTTTGTTCGCGCTTCGTGTTTCAGGTGTAATTCCACGCTTGGCAAGTAGGTGGTGTCCCCTTCTGGAAGGGTCCCCAATCAGGGACACCCAGTTTTCAGAAGCTTTCCAGTTTGAGCCTGGGAGCTGCAAGGTGGACTGTGCAGGATCTGTTTCGGATTGTGATTTTAGGGTTTGGGATTGAGGGTTTGGGGTTGTATAAGGGTTTAAGGGTTCACGCTTTAGGGTTCTGTATTCGGGGTTTTCGAACTTAAATGTCTTGGTGTAGGAATCTTCTCATATATAGTGTTTGTATGTGAATGTTGCTGCACTGCGGCGCAGACGACAGGAGCTGCTTTGTGTCACCACCTTTTTACTATGACGGGTAATGGCAGTACACTTGATGCTAAATACCGGCGCTTTTAGCAAGTGCCCCGAGGTTCCACAAATTTGTTTGCAAACGCTCCTTCAGACGGTGCCCTACATTGGGGACGATCAAAGGGATCGAGCCAGAGAGTGCCCCACATCAAGAAGTCTCCTTGTCCGTATAAACCCGAAAATCTACAGCCAACGATCCGAAACTCTACGACGCCACCCGGGAGACTGAATCGCAGATAAGCTGTAACCTCTATACTCTATGCATCCTGTTCCCAGGGCTCTAAAGCTCCAACCTAAATCCTGAACCTTCAACCACTAAACCCCAAATCCACCTCCGCTGCCCTTCACCCACGAAGGCCATGTAAGCTGTAGGGGCCCGACTAGGTACCAATACTTTTTGGGGTTGCTTGCTATGATTATAGTATAATGGGCCCCTCAACCCTAAACCCTATTGTAATCAAAACGAAAACGGCCCCTGCATGACCCAACCTACCCAACGGCGAGCGGCGGCCGAGGCAGATGATCATGGAACTCCCAGTCACCTGGAAGCGCATCAGTAGAAAGTCCGAAACTCCGTTCAGGAATGTCGAATAGCTTTACTTTAAGGGGTCCTTAAAGGGGTTCTATAAGGGCACTATGATTTATAGGGGCCTTAATAATTAGAATAGGGTTTTGGGGCCCAGTATGCTCAAATGATGAGAAGGGGCCCCGCTAACATAGTATTATTACCCGAATCATCGTGCAATACCCGCGTAGAAGCCTTATGGTACTGGGATTCCTGTTCTATTAGAGGGGGGCCATCAACGTAATTCGAGGTTTTTTGGAGTTTCTGGCCGTAGCTGGGATTGGTAGGCAATATATCTACAGAAGCACTTTACATTGTTCTGACTCCTAACCCTCGGCCCCAGCTTGCAGTTTGAAGTTTAAGCTACGGAGGGGGTTTGAGCTAGGGGTGTCGGGGCAAGCGATTCACCGTCGAACCCCCAAACCCTGCAAAGTTGAGCCGTACACCACAAACCCCGAACCCTAAACCCTGACGATGTCAGTCTCGGGGTCTCTAACCTATATGGGAGTTTTCGGATGCCACGTAACAGGCCCACAGATCCGGGTTTCGATGGTGCGGGCTGGTGGGGTGAAGAGCTTTCGGAAAGGCTCAAGTTCTCGGGTCGAGAGGTTTCGAGGCTGGAGGGCTTGCAGGGCCGAAAGCTTGAGCCTAAAACCCTAAGCCTAGGCCCGAACACCCCTAACAACAGTAAGCCCCATAGCCGTACACCCCAAAACCCAGCACCCAGAACGGTGCCTTTCTAAAGCCCATGTGGTCCCCTAGACCCTAAGCCTCAAAGCCCGTAAGCCCTAAACCCTAAGCCCTCAACCCTAAACCCTTAACCCCTAAACCTTGAACCCTAAACCTAAGCCCTTAAACTTAAACCTGCTTCATGACCCTCGGAAGATCCGATCCGAGGTGGAAGTCTTCCAGTCGCTGCTGAAGTTTGTTTGAACCCTTGTCGATTTACCATAATAATCATCTACAGTGAATAAGAGCGATCTATTGTAAATAATATGGTTTCCTTTTTATGGTAACCCTAAACCCTAACTACGAAGTACATCAACTCCCTAAACCACAGCACATGTACGGCCTAAGTTCCTAGCGAGTTGCAAGAATATTGCCAGAGGTTCAATCTGAATGCCCGGGATGCGAGGAGCAGGGGCTTGAGCGGACGCAAAGAAGCTGAAGATGCGCGACGCGGCCTCAACCCTAAATCCACCGTAAACATCGCCCTAAACCCTGAACCCTAAACCCTAAACCCTAAACTTGAAAGCCCTAAACCTCAGCCCAAGCGGGCTGTGCGGACCTAGGGATGTTGGCCCTGAGGCGAAACCCCATCGGGCCTCACTAGACTGTATACTCTGCTACTACACCTCCGGCCGTGTTCAATAGATCCGCCGCGGCTGACACCCGTCGGTGAGGATCAGAGGGTCGGGGGACTTAGTAACTGGTTATTTTAGGGACTTATAAGTATCATAACCCCAATTAGGGTCCCTTTTAGGATAGTATGTGAGCTTCGCTCCTTACCGGGATGGGTCTAGCCTGGTCTAGTCAGTGCCACAAAGATTCAAATTCAAAAAATATCCGTCCGCGTCGGCTTTAGTACCAGCATCAAGAAAGTAGCGAAGATTGCAGTCCCCGGAAGGTCGACACGTACTTCTTACCTTATGCCGCAACCCCCGACTTGCCAAGCCTCAAGCTCCTTCGACATCCTTTCGGGCAGTGGTTTCAACTCAACGTGCTATCTATCTCCGACCTCCAAATGGAGCTGGGAGTGTGAGTGGACGGAAGACCAAGTGGTGGCACTTCAATCCTGATAACGAAGCTCTGAAGCTAAACCGTGACAGTGAACGGCCAAGGTTCTGAGGACTCCCAAAGGTTTGAACAAGAGAATCAAGATCCATCACCTCGAAGAGGTCATGGACATTTTGAGTCGTAGAGATGTAGGCTTTTCGGCCTAGTCAGATTTTGAGCCATTGTGTGCTCCAGAAAGCAAAAGGATCCAAGCACTGCAAGCCCGCATTCCCCACACCCTAGGCTTGAAGTAGTCGCACTTGCCGTTGTCGTAGCAGTAGTAGTAGCAGTAGTAGGAGTAGTAGTAGTAGTAGTAGTAGTAGTAGTAGTAGTAGTAGTAGTAGTAGTAGTAGTAGTAGTAGGAGTAGGAGTAGCAGCAGCAGCAGGAGTAGCAGCAGCAGCAGCAGCAGCAGCAGGAGTAGTAGTAGTAGTAGTAGTAGTAGTAGTAGTAGTAGTAGTAGTAGTAGTAGTAGTAGTAGTAGTAGTAGTAGTAGTAGTAGTAGTAGTAGTAGTCGTAGTAGTCGTAGTAATAGTGGTAGTAGTAGGGGTAGTAGTAGTAGTAGTAGTAGTAGTAGTAGTAGTAGTAGTAGTAGTAGTAGTAGTAGTAGTAGTAGTAGTAGTAGTAGTAGTAGTAGTAATAGTGGTAGTAGTAGTGTTAGTAGTAGTAGCACCACCGGTCGTGGGTCGTGGTAGTGGTAGTGGCAGTGCCATGGCAGCGCCAATGGTAGTGTTAGTTAGAGGTATTGGTGGTGTGTGTGGTAGCTGTACTAGCAGTGTTGTTATTTAAGCATTGTTCTTCGCAGCGGGAGTAGTAAGAACAAAAATCAACAGTAATAGGAACTGCGAAGTAATGCAGCAGGGAGCAGCAGTCAGGAGCAGTTGCAAGTAAGGAGAGGTAGCAAGAAGGGGTAGTAGTGAGTCGAAGTGAGTAGCAGTCAGCAGAAGTGAGTCGCACATGTAAGTAGGTAAGCCAGTAAGTAAGCAAACAAGAATGAAAGAAGGCACAGACGACTCAGGTGGCAAGCCGGGTTCGAGACATTGGAACTGTAACCGCGTTCAGGACGTCATGCGGATGAGCCTTGGATCCAGAAAGAAACAGCTTCAACAAGAGGAAGCTCAGCCGCACCTGATGCATGATGGGACGGATCACTTAACAAACTTAGTGATTCCGGTGCCGCCACTGCCTGTCAAGTACTCTGCTAAACTCATGAAGAGTTGAACCTTGCAGCCTGAACCCTCAAATCTGCAAAAGAGATAACCGTGATGTAGTTGTGAGATCTAATATTAGGCCCTAAACCCTCCAACCGAATTCCTACACCCCAAAGACCTCATTGGCATGGCGTTTGCCGCAGTGTGGACCAGACGCTGGGCTAGTGCACCCCAGGGAAAATCGTGGAGTCGCGCAGCGCTTCTGAGTTCAGGGGTTTAAGCTCAGGGTTTAGGGTGTTGGGTTTAGGGTTTGAGTTTAGGGTTTCGGGTTTCAGGGGTTGAGCAGTGGGCCGTGGCGATCTCGGAGTGACAGACAGGCCCACATGCTGTTGGAACTTTTGAGTTGCCGCTTGATGGATTCCGGATACCTTGGGAGGTGAGGATATGTATGTACAGTACATAATACAGCACATATGTAACACACCGTATACATCACAGTCACTACAAGTAACTACATGGCATCATAATTTATATAAGACGTGAGGCGCATTAGGATCCAGAGTCTGAGAGCTTCTTCGTTTTGGGTGCAATTGGCTGTTGTATCTTCGCCCCAGTCGGCTTGGCCTTGAGGGTGTTGAGGTCGTCTGGGAAGCAGCTTTTGCGGACCCAGGTTCAACTCATATTCAGTCTTCTTTGCAGGATTTGTGTGTGAGGCATCTGGGCTAAAGTGAAGGACCCTCCACCACAGAGTTGCTGGTTCTCTCTTGTGTCTCTTGCAAGAGAACTCAGACTCTCTACGGCGAAGTAGCCTCAGGCCTTAAGTATGGGTTACGGTTATGCAGGGGATGCTTCTGCCTGACTTGGTGCCGCATTTGGCATAGCTCCCTAAGTCATGGATGCAGGAGCTGTAGCATCACAGGAGCTGAGGCGTACAAGCGGAGGGGCGTGGTTCTGCGCACTATGGGGTTTCGGTAGGCCTGAGCTTTTGGAAGTTTTGGGGGTTCGTTTGGGTGTAATGTTGACGGCGAGATGCCTCTGCTAAATCATTACACTAGTTAGGCACCTGTCGAAAAACAGCCACGTGAAAGAGAGCCTGGCAGTACAGTTCTTGGCAAGTCGATGCTCTGCCACGTTTCTCATGACTGGGAAGGGTGCTCTCGCTTCTAAAGGAGGTGCCCGACATTTCGTGGGAAGAACCCATGCTGAAATCATGCTCGAGGCTGACATCCCGAGCCAACCGCTTGGCCTCCTGCAGCATTTTCCAAGGGAGCATGCAAGGCTGATCTCCATGATGACATCAAGTTCTGATCCAGCAATCCAGAGTAGATACTCTGCATGAGCACAGCAGATAAGCATCTGTGACGTCTTTGCATCAACAGTTCGCAGCCCGAGGAAGACTTCTAGATCTCGACAACAGTCTGGCTTTCATACCGAGCAGTCAAGGCGCATTGAGCAGAATGGATGTCCCACGAGCAGCCGGAGCGCAGCAATCCCTGCTCCCCAAGGCTCTTTGAGCCTCTTCCGGGCCGGGATAAGGGTCGAAGTGGAAGGCCTTACTTGGGGTCCTTAACCTTAAACCCTAAACCTCGGGCTGGAAGTGTTCCCTCCAAAATCCCCAGACCTAAATCCGAAAAACCCACGATCAGAAGCCAGGCGTCGAAGAAAGGCCACCCGGCGGACAAAGGCTTCCTCTCCTTTGACGAGGCAGTTGGGAGGACTTTGAAAGGAGATCCCCTTTTGCAACGGTCCCTATAGAGCTCTCATATAACTTATCCGAAATCCCTGTTCCAATGCTCAAGGCCCCTACATGAGGATGTTCCTGCTTGTCTATGGGCAGGGTGAGGCCTTTCAGGCAAAGAACGGTTTGAAGGCTGCGGCTTTGGTTCAAGGGTCTTTCAACGGATGTTGCCAAACAAGCCGACACCCCCGGCACACGGACTACTTAAAGGATCATGGGACTTAGTAAGTAGGTTATAATTGGGGTTATAAGTCCCCTAAGTGGGCTTATCCTAATTATAACCTACTTGTAACCCTACTTACTAAGTCCCATGATCCTTTAAGTAGACGGATTGAAAAATCCAACCCAAGCCCTGAATCCGACCTAAGCTGAATTCCGTTCGCTTCTGGGAGGGACGGTTGTGAGTGAGCGATATGTGTGTATATATATATATAGTTATCTTCATGTATATATATAAGCATATGTGTGTGTGTGTGTGTGCAGGTATGATCTGGTATGATATGGTGGTATGGTCTGGTATGATATGGTATGGTAAGGGATGGTATGGTATAGTCGGTACGGTATGGTGTGGTGTGGTATAGTATGGTATGGTTTTGTGTGGCATTGTTAGCGTATGGTATGGTATGGTCTGGTATCGGTATGGTATGGCATTGTGTGGCATTGTATGGTATTGTATGACATTGCATGGCATGGTTGGTGCGTTTGTCATATGCATGGATGGACGGACGGACGGACTGACGTGGATGGATGGATGTGCGTATGTGTGTGTATGTATAGACGTGTATGTGTGTATGTGTTTACGTGTGTATGTGTGTATGTATGTGTACATAATGTAACGCATAATGTCATGTAAAAAATATAATGTAACGTAATGTAATGGAACGTAATATAATGTGGTGTAGTTGTTTATGTGTTGTACGTGACTTTATCGGTGCACCTGTCTGCATGCGTATTTGATTATGTGCAGCTGCAGCTGCATGGGCACTTCATAGATGTGGACGTAAACCCTAAACCCTAAATCCTAAACCCTAAACCCTATGTGTGTGTGCACATCAAGTATGTTCGAAGCCTTCGGATCGAGGGGCCCTCAGCTCGAAAGCTTGAAACCCGACGCCCGAAGTGCTTAAGCGTTCGCCCCATAGGAAGCAAGCAAGTCACTGAGGTCCACTCCGGGGGCATGCTAGCCGCTACGCGTGAAAAGTTATAGATCGTGTGCGTGTTCGGCACTACACTTCATCCAGTCCCCTCCATCATCGTAAGGGGTTAGGCTTAGGCTTCAAGGATACTTAAAGGATCATGGGACTTAGTAACTAGGATTATAATTAGGGTAACTATACTTATAACCCCAATTAGGGTACTTATAACCTTACTTACTACGTCCCATGATCCTCCAAGTACCGAAGCTGGAACATTGAAAGCCCCCAGATCCCACAGGGAGCCGCAGGGACGTCTCTGGCGCTGCTGGTGTCGGGTGCTGTGGGCACCGGAGTGCTCGCCTTGCCCTATGGCGCCTGATCCTTGGGGTCAGGTTTACGGTTTGGGCTCTAGGGTAGATAACTGCATATACATATAGATATATATATATATATACATATGTAAGATAGCATATGATAACTCCATTATACAGTATTATATCATACATATATATATATATATATATATATATATATATATATGGATGGGGGGTGTAGGATGCAGGGCGTTGTAGGGTTCAGCGTTCATGGGAGCGTAGGCTTCGGGAGTTGAGAGTGTCCTGGGGTTTGACAAGACATCCGTGGAACACAAGTTCAATGAGGTGGGAAAAATGGTTGGATATAGGTTCATTCCAGAAGCATATTGCACCAGAGGCTGCGTAGGTTGTGGATGCCTGATATGGAGAAACGTGCGAGGACAGATGCACAGAGGCGCTTTTTGCGACTTGTATACCTTACAGTTGTCTTGCGTAACCATGTGGAGCGGTAGAGAATGCAGCCTGCATCACTGACGGTCGACTGGGCTTGACCCGACAGTTTGACACCATTGTCTTGTTCGCTGCTTCGTTCTTCCGTTGCATGCGTGTGCGGACAGCTTTCTTTGTGCGCGAGACTCGGCGGCGGAACGGAGCAACGGAATCGTCCGAAGGCTATGGACGAGGTTGTTGGCGCGAATGAAGTGCCGCTTGCTTCCGCAGTATGTATTCCGTCATTTGATGCGGGGCTGACCTGACACGAAGTGCGCAGAGTGTGGGCAGGAACAGAAGGCGCGAGCAGGTGCTTGTGAGCCGCTGCAGCTCGCAGCGTTACGGTAGTTCGCAGATGCACTGGGGCCGCACGTGTATCGCTGGAAAAGTGGGCGGTTGATAGATGAATTAAAAACACGTGAAAACTCCACCCGTTTGCAGTGCATATCGGAGGGCGGGTCGGTCGGGATAGGGTTGGAGGTCGCAAGCCTGACTTCTAGCTGACAGCTCAGAACTCACAAACCAGGCCCATTTGCTCGGTACACCGCCAACGTTCGATTCCCGCGACAAGAGAAAGTGGCGTTTACATTTGGAGATCCCGGGCGAAAAAATTGCCACCAACGTCCTATACCGCGACCCGAACCTGGAAACTTCTAGACATGATGAGACTCGCAGCGCGCTTGTCGCCAATGCTTTGCCGTTGTAGTACAGCTCGCAGATTGCCGTCGACACTACATTGGTGTCGCCACTCACTTCTGCGGGTGTGCCTCGTCGCCGCAGTGGCAGCACCACGGGCGCGAAACGCAGCCCCTTGCCTTTGTTGCACGGTGGTGTGGGTTTCTGTCCGTCGCAGCTGCGTGTTCCTTCGCCGCCAGCTTGCTGTCCCTCACCATCTCCTTCACCGCCAACCTTGAAAGCAACGCCTTTGTTGAGTGATGTCTTTGCGGATTTGTCTGAGGTGTCGCCACTCGCATCTCACATGGGGTGAGCTTTGGCTAGTTGAAGTCTGCGAGGGTTTGGTTGCGGAGTTACGCCCAGTAGTGTGCTGCACTGGGACGTGTTTGCATTTTTTTGCAAAGTTTCCGTGAACCCTTGCGTCCCCGACGCATCCTGAATAATTAATGAAAATTGAGCTGGAGCGACTTGGAGACTACAACCGGCGTCCATACCAGAGGTTCCACATGTAGTGATGTGTATCTTGGCTAGTGACGAGGCATCCGCGCGTTCGTGGACGACACATATACCTCGCCAGTCAGCCCTGTCGCATCACAGTCTTGTTGCCGCACCTCGAGCACGGACTTGTTTCCCCACACGCACATCCAGCTCAACGCCGCCAAAACTCGTGTTGGGAACGTGGCAGGGATTCGCTACGCGCACATCTGGGTCGGCGAGACCGGCCTCCCTGCGTACCAACAAGGCTGGCAGGCACACCGTTCGGTACAGATGAATTCATGGCTGCGCAGTTTCACACCCTGTCCACACAGCACCGGGCTTTCCTCGAACTTCTGCCCACACTTCCCGACCTCCTAGTCGCTTGGTTGTTGCTCCTGTCCTTGGCCAGCCCGCGTGCGCAGTACATTTTCCGTGTGGTCTCACTGCTGCCCCGGATGCGAGCGCAACGCAGTCGGCGCAGCCTCCCGCATCGCACACGCCAATATACAGCGACCTTACCCACAGAACTCGTGCGCCTCGTTGTGCTCGCCCTCGAAATCGCCGGACGTTGGAGCGCAGAAACCGTCCAGTTCGTGCAACTCCTTTGCCGCTTCCGAGCACGGTCCGCACCGCCAGCAGCACCGCAGCACACCGCAGCGTAGGTGCAGCGATGGTTTGGATTTTTTGTATGGGCAGACGCCGGGTGTTTTGCAGCATTGCTGTTGTCGCGACGTCGATGGCCGACCTTCCAAGACGTGCTCGCCAAGCATGGGCTGGACAGCTCGCCACATGCCGGTCGCCTGCCCGCACGGTGATGTGCATGGCAAACACGTCGCATTCGACTCCCGCAGGCCACACCTGTTTGTGCACAGGGGCCGGATTTTTCATGCTGCATCAAATAATGCGAGGAGCATGAGGAGCGGTCGCAATTCTGGCCGCGCTCGGGAGAGATGATCATATGTCCTAGCAGCATCAGCGGAGATGATGGTGGCACACATAAACGATCGCAGTGCAAAAAATTCAGGATGTTATTTGTTCGCTTCGCTGCTGCGACATTGCAAGAATGCGCGGGAGATGGCGTACATGGTCGGAGAGGGTAGAGGAAGCCGCCCCAAGTCGCAGGATGTCAGCACAACAACACCGCAACATCAAGTGAACCCAAAGGGCACGCGCATGTTGGGAGTGCTCGCCGCTTGCAACCAACATGCCACGCACCCCGACGGCTTGTTCACGGCTCTCGCAGCCAAACGGGCCACGCGAGGCTCTGTGCATCAGCAGCGCTGCAGCGTGGGTGCGATGGATGTCTGGTTTGGTCGGCCGTCCAGGCCTGCATGGCCGTGCCCTGCTAGTACTTCGCAGCGATGTGCTGCAAGCCCCGTGCCTGCCAGCATCCACACGCCTGTGTGTTTTCCACCCACCGTTCCTGGCGTCGTAGTCGTGGTGTGTCGTAGTCTTAATTGTAGTGGTCGTAGTAGTAGTAATGGTAGTAGTAGTAGTAGTAGTATCAGTAGTAGTATCAGTAGTACTAGTAGTCGTCGTCGTAGTCGTAGTCGTAGTCGTAGTCGTAGTCGTAGTCGTAGTAGTAGTAGAAGTAGTAGTAGTTGTAGTAGTAGTAGTAGTAGTAGTAGTAATAGTAGTAATAGTAGTAGTCGTCGTAGTAGTCGTAGTAGTCCTAGTAGTCGTAGTCGTAGTCGTAGTCGTAGTAGTCGTTGTCGTAGTAGTAGTGGTGGTCGTCGTGGTGGTGGTGGTGGTAGTAGTAGTAGTAGTTGTTGTTGTATATACTGGGTTGCTCCGGTGAGCACATCGGGACCATGATGCACTTCCCCCAGCTCTGACATCATGCAGTCCATCAAGCCAGGTTTGTGCTTGTGCAGACAACGTCGCTGTCCAGCAATGCATGAACATCACCGCAAAAGGGGTTAACACATCCCTCCGTCCTGCAGCAATCCCCATGATGCAACACTGGGCAGACCGCCTTAGAAGAAGCTTCTCCCCAGACATAGTCGAGGATGCTTCCTTTGATGTGAGTGGCCACGGTGGTGTCCGAAGTCCAGTTGATGCCTCGATGCACCATACTCGCCACAAAAACATTGTAGATGTAGGAAGACATGCTCAAGTCGTTACATCCATGCATCAGTGCAAGCGTCTGAACACCTGCCTTGTTTCTTCTTTGGACATCAACTTCATCCCACTCGGCAAAATAGGCAGATACCAGGGAGAGGCGTTCCTCTTTGGATGCGGAAGACCTCGGGGGACGGTATACGCAGCCCCAATACTCTCTACATCAGCCAAAACAATCCAACAACTCCGAGATGTTTTGGAAATATAAGGGAGCCACTGCAGGATCTGACCAAGGGCAGGGACATACAGGACACATGCAACATCAAAATGGACACTGGCATGCCCATCGACGGTGTAAGGGAGGCCCAGCAAGGCATTCGTCCAAGGCAACCAACCGCAAATGCACGTTGCACAACAATATCATGTGTTGTTGGCCAAGGATGGCCACATCTTGGGTTCGTTGAGCCGTTGAAGTTTGGGTTTGGCTGGATGGCTTGTGGCGTCCGCCTTGCTTGGAATAGGGCTTGAGTCGCATCTTTGCACAGAAGCTTGTCGGCCCGCGTTTCGACCAGTTCTTGTTCAACATGCAGCAGCCGCCAGCGGCCAGCAAGCACCCCTACTGTAGCAGCACAGTGTTGGTACACTAGACCCTCCTTCATGTTTTCATGATGTGCATGCCCCGGTGCTCACACTTCCGCTCACACTCCCAGTCACACTTCCGCGCACACTCCCGCTCACACTTTGCTGTGTTTCGCAGCAACAATATGTGAGTGGTAGCGTGAGCGGAAGCCTGAGCGGGGGTGAGCGGGCGTGTGGGTCGCCCATTCATGCGCACACTTCCGCGCACACTCCCGCTCACACTTTCTGCTGTGTTTTACAGCAGACATGTGAGAGCGGGAGTGTGAGCGGGAGTAGGAGCGGAAGTGTGAGAGGGGGTGCGAGCAGGATCCGGAGTGTGAGAGGGGGTACAAGCGGAATCCGGAGTGTGTGTGGTTCCTTCATGCTCACACTCCCGCTCACACTTCTTTTGGCGTGTTCCGCTCACACCTTTGGCTGTAAAATAGTGTGAGCGGGAGTGTGAGCGGAAGTGCAAGGTGGAGTGCAAGCGGAAGTGTGAGCGGGAGTGTGAGACGGAGTGTGAGCGGGATCCAGGGTGTGAGTGGCTCATTCATGCTTACGCTTCCGCTCACACCCCCAATGTGTTCTACAGCAAAAATGTGTGAGCGGAAGTGTGAGCGGGAGCAGAATGCAAAAGCTTTTTGACAACAACCCTCGCGGTAGTGGTAGCGCTAGTTGCTGTAGTGGTTGTAATGTGGTGCTATGGGACTGCAACGCTCGAGTATGCTGGTTCGCTTGC